GGTTTGGCAGCATCCGCTACAGCTACCTCCTGGATGTGCTGGGTGAGGGCTCCTCAGCGTGGCGCTGGTCCTGGCTCCCCGCTTCCTCCGCACCTGGCAGAGGGGTTGGGGTCACGGGGAAGGGGGCAGAGGCGCCTCTGCTCATGTCCTCTCTGCTCCACAGCCTGCGTGTCCCTCGCACCCAAGGGATGTGGGGATGGAGACCAGGCTCGGGTTGCACTTTTCTGCTGTAGGGCTGGGGAAGGGCTCTCCATGGGTTCACAGCAGGCAAAGGGAGGCAGAAAGGAGCCCCTGCTCGGGGCTGTCATGGCGGTAACACCACTCTGCTCTCCTCTGCGCAGAGAGGTCCCCGCACAGGCCCATCTTGCAGGCTGGGCTGCCTGCCAACACCACAGCCCTGGTGGGCAGCGATGTGGAGTTCTTCTGCAAGGTCTACAGCGATGCCCAGCCCCACATCCAGTGGCTGAAGCATATCGAGGTGAACGGCAGCAGCTATGGTCCCGACGGGGTCCCCTACGTGCAAGTGCTCAAGGTAACAAGGGCTGGAAGCACCCGGCTCCCAGAAGCACGCCCCAAAGTGGTGATAGGGGGTGCACAGAGTCCCCTGAGGGGGAGGAGGGATGCTGACCATCCCTCTCCCTGGCAGACTGCAGACATCAACAGCTCCGAGGTGGAGGTGCTGTACCTGCGCAATGTCTCCATGGAGGACGCTGGCGAGTACACCTGCCTGGCAGGGAACTCCATCGGCCTCTCCTACCAGTCTGCCTGGCTCACCGTGCTGCCAGGTAGGGCTGGGGGTCCTGGGGTGGGAGCTGGGACCCCCGGCATGTAGGGACTGTGGCTCACGCCAACTCATTCACTCCCTCCAGAAGAGGAGCTGGTGCGGGAAGCCGAAGCCCCTGAGGCCAAGTACATGGACATCATCATCTACACCTCGGGCTCGCTGGCCGTGGCCATGGCTGCCATCATCGTGGTGCTGTGCCGGATGCAGACTCAGTCGAGCAAGCAACCACTGGAGCCCATGGCGGTCCACAAGCTCTCCAAATTCCCGCTCATCCGACAGGTGGGTGCCAAGCTGGAGTCCTGGGGGCACAGGGGGACCCTGGCGACTGACTGGTTCCACAAGTGCCACCTGTGCCCATCACACCTTACCCTGCTGCCAGCCTTGGGCTGCCCTCCCCACTGCCTCCTGCAGCTCCCTCACCCCGTTGCTCTGAGTGAAGGTCTCTCTGCAGCACAGTTGAGTCTCTGCTTGGCCCTGGAGCACGGGGCGGGATGGCTGAGGTCCCTTGGGCTCTCTCTGCAGTTCTCCCTGGACTCCAGTTCCTCCGGGAAGTCCAGCACATCCCTGATGCGCGTCACTCGTCTCTCCTCCAGCTGTGCCCCGATGCTGGCTGGGGTCATGGAGCTGGACCTGCCCCTCGATGCCAAGTGGGAATTCCCCCGAGAGAAGTACGGTGCTAGGCGGCGTGGGTCAGGGCTGGGTCTGGGGGCTGCTCTACCCAGCCACCCCGGGGACAGCAGCACACTGGCAATGGATGGGGAGGTCTCCAGCCATTACCAGACACCTCAGCACAGCCGCACCCTGGGGTGCTGGGACTCGGCTCGGACCCTGGAGGGGCAGCCACGCAGCGGAGAGGGGCAGCCACGATGCCTCTGCCTCTCAGGGTCCAGCCGTGTGGTGGCAGGGAGTGGGGCCATTGCTGCGGTCCCTCATGGTTATGCCCGTCCCTGCCAGGCTGGTGCTGGGCAAGCCCCTGGGGGAAGGCTGCTTTGGCCAGGTGGTGCGGGCAGAAGCTTACGGCATCGACAGAGACCGGCCGGACAGAGCCGTCACTGTGGCTGTGAAAATGCTGAAAGGTAACAGTTCCCTGCCAGTGTCCCAGGCTCAGAGGTGGCATCAGTGCCAGGCTGTGGTGCCACCCCAGCTGGCACGGTGACATGGCCCTCCTTCCCCAGACAACGCCACGGACAAGGACCTGGCTGACCTCATATCCGAGATGGAGATGATGAAGCTCATGGACAAGCACAAGAACATCATCAACCTCCTGGGAGTCTGCACGCAGGACGGTGAGGGGGCTGTGCAGGCAGGGCGTGGAGCAGGGGCAGGGGACGGAGCTGCTGGGGACAGTGGCAGGTGGGACAGTGGGGTGGGACAGGGCAGGGGCTGAACAGAGCGGATGCCCTTCCCAGGGCCGCTGTACGTGATCGTGGAGTTTGCTGCGAAGGGCAACCTGCGCGAGTACCTCCGCGCCCGCCGCCCCCCGACACCCGACTATGCTTTTGACGTCACGGTGATGCCCGAGGAGCAGCTCTCTTTCAAGGACCTGGTCTCCTGCGTCTACCAAGTGGCCCGTGGCATGGAGTACCTGGAGCCCAACCGGGTAGGGCTGGCACAGCCCGTGCAGGCTGCCTGTGCTCCGCACAGCCTGGGGAGGGGGGAGCAATGTGGTGATGGAGGAGCTGTGTCCCCCCACTGTCCCCGCTCTGAGTGGGGAGAGGGAGCTCGGCCCCTTCCCCCAGGCTGTCCAGAACCTCCCGGCCGCATCCAGCAAAGCTCAGGGCACTGTCTCCCCAAGAATGTGGGGCTTAAAGCCTGACCCACCTCCTGGGTGTCACCCCCGGCACTGCGCCTGTCACTGCAGCCAGCCCAGTGGC